TTTTTTTTCAATTCGTATTAAATGTAGAATAAAAACTTTATACCGTTAATGACCTCATCATATAACTACAACATTAATTTCAACTATCTAATTTTGCTCGAAAGCAATCACTTCTTAGTAGAAGTTTCTGTATAGTTAAATATGAATGTTTTTCTAGTCTAAATTTAACAAACGAGCAAAGTTTCTCTGTAGTTAAGATTGATGATTACACTCTAATTCTTACAAAGTATGCCGCACAGATAAGAAATAAACATCACTTTATAACGAACGATCTTACATATCCTCTTGCGTTTTCACATCAGATAATGTCAGTTATTGTCATCTAAATTGCCTCTTTAGTTAATTGAACAATGTATGAAATTTATTACTAAATGATGTTCTATTCTTATTATGACATAGGCTGGAATAAAAAGTGGACAGACCTTGTCAGACAGGCCGAGGAAATTGTCTGGCAGGCTCTTACAATCTAGGCCTGTCATACACAGACAAAGTCTACAAACGTTGAGTCTTGTTGGATTTCTGGTATACCATGTCGACCCAATAACTTTTCGTCATCTTATTTTAATACAGTCGAATCAAATATGAGACTACGAAGAGAACAAACTGATTGTGAATATATTTTAAATATTTTTTTGCTTTTCCACGATAATTATTAACTATTCTTGTTCTTGTTTTTTGTTGATCTTTTCTTTTATTTTTATAAGGAGTCATTAAAAATATATTTGAAAAAGTTTTTATTTATTCAAAGAAATCTGCAGAATATTGACAATATTAAACTAAAATCAGAATTTCGTTTTTTTTTTGAATATGAATTCGAAATAAATTTTGTTTCTACTTTAAGAATTTAATTTTTCGAGCTAAAATTCATCTAAAATGAATTGTTAAGTCTCTAAAATATCAACTCATAAATTCTAAACTAGAAGTTCTACAAAAATTTAAAACAATTAAAAAGAATAAATATATATTCTATTTTTTTTATCATACATTATACAAGATATGAACAAGACTAGTACGTATATCCACTAATTGAATATGGTCTTTCTTATTCTATTAAAAAATTTTTGTTATTCCGATTGACTTGTATCACCTCATCATCCAAGAATGAAGTAAAATCAAATATTCTTGTTTCTTTTTTGAAAATTTGTTTTATTGAAAGATCTTTATCAACAAATATGAGTGAATGACGTCAATTTAAGGTAAGTTTTGTTTAAATAATTTATTAGCTGAACTAAATACAAATACAAAATATAAAAAATATATTTTTTTAGAAGTTAACCAAATCATAATAAATCTTCAATATATTATTGATAAATCTTCTCTTTATATGTTACTCATTTATTTATTTTAATTAGACATGAATAAATATTTATTTCAAAGATAAATAATTGAACAAAATTACATAAAATCAAATAGAAATATATATAACACCCGAATTTTATTCTCTTTTAATACATTCAAAGAGATATTTTTATCTATCATGTAATTAATAATAGAATAACTGAGGATTTCTTTCAACCAAAAAAGAAAAATGAATTTCTTAAAATCTGTATAGAATGTAATCTTAATATCGCATAGTCAATTTTTCATGCATTTTGTGCTTTAATGTTGTATAATCTATAATGGATACTAATTTTTTTTCTATATATCTATGACTTAACTAATATATACTTAAACTATTTTGGCAAAATCATAATAAAAGAAAACATTAAATTTTTCAAAGAGATATAGAATAATACATCTTCTTTATGGATATCAATTATTTGAAGATGTGCTATTAGACTTTATTAAAATAAATCTGCACAAAGTAAGAAAAGTCTTCAACATTCTGATTAAATAATTAAGAAACTATTAACTATTGATTTTTTGTACCAACGAAACATTATTTCGAAAAAGAGGGTGCGGGTGTGGGTGTGGATATGCTGAGCGTGAAGTAGACCTACACCCACACCCACACCCAAAACATATTCTTCTGTGCATATTGCCAAGGGCATCCATAATAGAAGCGAACAGTAGCTAGAGGCAGTATATTATTTAATGATGGTAGTAATAACAGAAGTAAAGTTATAGATGCATTTGCTAAACAACAATAAAACCACAAACAAAAGACTAGTCGATTCACCAATCAGTCTTTTGTTTACTGTTCATTTATATTTTATATATTTGCTTATGCCATCTTTATATGTACTAAATGTCGATAATTATCAAAAAATAAATGATACAAATTGTCTAGAGTATAAGGTGCAACGCATACGAACTAAGTTATGCTGAAAAAATGCTGAGATGTGCTGAACGATGATAGGACGTTGTCAATATGCTGGTTTGCTCAAAGCTTTGAAAAACCAGCTAGAAATTCAATTCATCATTAGAGATAAGAATCATATTATTTAAATTGATGTTTTCGGTTAAGACAAACGTATTTTTTCAAGAATAACAATTCTTTATAAAACTTTTTCGAACGTTTTTACGATCAAGAAATCCAAATATAATTATAGGTGACTTGTCTAAATTTATGGCTTCGATTTTTTTTGTCAGTATAAGCCTGTTCTTGCGACTTGATCAAGTTTTGTTAACTCTTTCAATCTCAGCAATGTATAAATAAGTATAAATGCAATTATTGAACAAAGGTGTTGCCAGCGAATTATTTAATTATCTGACAAGGTTCTTTTATCGGGTGTGAGTGCAGATGTTCTTTCGATTCATGCCCACATCTGTATCTTATTATTTAATTGTCAAACATACGGTAAAATCATCAATCTCATAACATTGTTCTTAGAAATAGTTCTTCAATCTTTATTCTGTCTCTTTCTTATTCATCTTGACATTTTCATAGACTTTACCCAATAAATCTTCCAAACTTATCACAGTTTGACAAGAAATACAATCATCATGAAATTTTGACAGATCGATCATATTTTGATAATAGATTGCTCTCAACCAATTTCTCAGGTGAAATTAGTCATCAATAACCACCAAATGCTGATATTCTTGAAAAGAAAAATTAAAATGTTCCTAACATCCACATTAAAAAAAGACATCATCTATGCATCACTACGAATATATTCCCAACATAATCAAAATTCTATATCTTTCGATGAATATAAAGACGATCGTCTCTGTTGATGATTGATTAATCCTACTCAAACGTTAAAATTAAAATTGAAAAAGAAATGCGATATGAAGCGCAATCGAACAAATGTTTCGTGATATTGTAGAAAAAAAGAAAGCATTAGTCTATCTATTTATGTTAATTGGAATATGGTGAATGCGTTGGTATGAGTGGTTTGCAATAATGATAATAAGAGAGAAAAGTTTTGAAATGAAAAAAAGAAGACAAACTTTCACAATATGGTTGTATATTCAAATCTTCTGTATTTTTTCCAATTTTTTCTCTATTACCTACATTTTAAATGATGTGCGGTTGAAATTCGATGTACATGTGTTAAAAATAGTGCAATAGCAGTGCTATGAAAGAAAAAATAATAATAACTATTTTCTTGCTTCTTCGACACATTTTGTTCTACTCATAGAGTACTGCACATGGTTCTAACATAGATTGTTCGTCTGACAGGAACAAAAAAAACTTCTTTTCTTTATAGAAAAGAACAAAACTGTCCTCATTAATCTTCACTATGAATTGCCTTTAAGGCATATATTTGAGAGCAATACGTAGAAAAACTATATTTTCTCGCCTGGCACAATGTCTTCGCGTTCAACTAGACGAACAAATGCTTAGAGAAATTTTATAATCAATACAGATAAACTAATGGAAACAATAGGACAATAAAGCTTAAGTAAAAAAATATATAGTACCATCTAGTAGTGAAACAGATAATTATACTCGCTGTTTGATGGAGATTATCATTGAGTAAAATTGTCTAGCTACAGCAAAAACAATGTTTCTTCAGATATTTGGATTTACAACTGTTTGAACAGCATCTTTTTTACTCGAATACAAAAATTGTTTTACGATAATTTCACCCTTCATGACCTTCTCACGTTGCACAGCCACGTGCCATAGGACAACACTGGAGATATATACTATCTAACTTTATATAGGCATACCACGTGAAGAAAAGTATATTCCCTGTGCTCAAATCGATTATTTCATCGTTGTTCATGACTATATATTATACTTGTTTGAATGAAATTTAAAGTATTTTACATCGTTCAATATTCAGACACCTACCATATTGATCGATTGACATTCAGCTTTTTTTTGTACAGACACAAACGAAACAGATAGTATGACATAGTAAAATAGAAAGAAAAAGCATTACATGCAGTAACACAATCAAAACAATTTCTATTAAATATCATTTCAACGGTGTCATTGTATTTTTTGTACTCATGATTATTTTTTTAGTGACTTTCATAATAGTCATTACATTTTTTTGTACCAAAATAGAATGATAATCGACACGATTCGTTAAGAAACTACAGCTTAGTATTTAATCCTAATCTTGTCTAATTACATTTATTTTGTTTATTTGTTCCGTTCCTCTACGCTTGGTAACAAAATCCACATCCTAATTTATTGAAAAAAGTTCGAAAATGATCTATCTATAGATAAATTGTATGATCACTTTCTTGGAAATTAACATCGACTTGATTTAGCAACTTTCTTTTGTATAATAGCCTATCCATATAAGAACGAATTATTTCAATTTGATACTTACAAATTTCTGCAAAGAAAAAATAAATATCCTTATTAGTGAGGTTAAAGCTTAATAGTCTGTAGTGTAGAAGATGCAATAGAAGACGACATATCTAGTTTTACTGTATGATTATGAATTCAATATTGTGAGACCGTTCTGGACTATTATCAAAATACTAGAACAACTTATAAAACACAGTAATTATTAGAGAGTTTTAAGATTTCAAAAGTTTTATTTAATTGAAATCTATCTTAGTCTTTCTATTATCTATAGTTTATTGACAAATGAAACACGAAACATTAAACATCATATTGATATAGTAGATAAAAGAAAAAAAGAAAACATTTAATCATCATGAAGAATGGTTTCTTCAGTCTTTTGAACAAGAGAATCGATTGTATTTGAAAACCATTGAACTTCATGTCCTGTAACTATATCATCATGGATACCAAATAAACATCTTATAAAATCAGAGAAAGTTTCGACAGCCTGTTCATAATTGAATTTATAGAGTATATATCGCCATGTTAATTCAACATATGTATCTTGAATATGTAAGATTTGTTTTGTATTTGATGAATCGACCGGAGGAGTGTCGGAATAAACTGTATAGTTAATTGTTGAGAAAGAAAGAATAGCAAGAAAGAGTCTCATAATGACAATGTCAAAATCAAGTCGACTTGCTATACGTTTAGCAATAGGTATTACTCTTGGATGACTCATAGTTCCAAGAACATCATAATAAGTTGAATAATTAAACAAACCAACTGGATGAGCAATAACATTTAAAGATAGAGTTGACGTATGTCCAAATGTACTATGAAGTAAAATAGAACGATCATGTGAAGGTAACGAGAGAAAATCTTGATTGTTTTTGTATAATTGTTGAACTTGTTCTAATGTCATTTGATATAATTTGCTAACTGATTCAGGTTTAAAGCGTAACTTAAGAGGTAACTTATGTTGTTCATGCATATAAGATTCACCTATTAAAAATCCATTATATGCCTCATAGCAATTAACAATGTTTGAAAGAAGATTCCATTGATCGATTGTTAATGTCGATTGATCTGATCGTAAGAGATTCAATGTTGGAAACTAAATATTGAAAAACAAGATATTAATAGAAAATAAAGAATATCTATTAAAATATTTTTTATTTCACTACTAAGTTTAGATCTCATTTGATTCTAATTCAACTAATTCGTCTATTTAGTTTTAATAGATAGTACAGAATTAACACCGTCATAAACGAACTCTGTTTTTTTTTTAATCATTTTCTAGAGCGATATGTTTCAAAGAACTGAAATTCGTAAAACTCAATTCGACTGCGGTTGACACAAGAAAAAAAAATCAGTCTTAAAAAAAACCGAGTTAAGATTTTAATAAGAACGAACAGTTCAAGTCATTTTTTTCCGTTCTTGTATTCGCAATATCTCTTAGAAGAAAGCATTTAAGAATTTAAAATCTATGAAAACTTTCCATCTACTATCGAGATATTTTCATCAAACTCTTCTCGATAAATCTCAGAAAAGAGATCTATTGAAATATTCAATTAGAAAAGAACTATCAATTTTTGTATCCTAGAAGAATGTTCATATTTGACGAAAATAATTGAACGATTTTTAGACTTTTCCATACTAATAGTAATCAAATATTTTAAAATTATGATAATAAAATAGTCTCACCTGTTCAGATTGGTTTAATGGAACTAAAGCTGTTGATATTGTTTCTGCTGGAACTTCGATATGCTTTCGTTTTTGACTTGTTATACTCGTTCTTGGCCAAAATGAGTGAAATTTTTCAGTTTGCATCCCTTTTGTAAAACATTTCTCAAGTCGACAATAAGAACAAACATGACGATTATTTACATTTATTTCACAATGACCATCAAAATCACATTTCGATAATTCCTAAAAATCAAATGAATAAAAAGAAAAGAAAATCAATATATTCAGTTAACCTTTCCTCGTAGAGCATTTCGTTTAAAAAACATTCTACATGGTTGACACGATAGAACACCAAAATAAATATATTGAGCTGGACCATTACAAATTTCACATTTACCTATGACTATCGTTGATTGTCGCTTTTTATTCATAGATTTATTCGATAATGTTTTTTTTCAATTAATCAGAAAACGTTTTTATTTGATACAATCTAAAAAAGGAATTAATTGTATTAGTATAACTAGTTTTAACAGAATTTATTAAGAGAGATTTCATACTTTCTTCAAATAATAATTAAAACTTTTTTCAATATTTTTAATAATCTAGTGAAAATTATTATTCTAATAGCAATTTTATTAATAATGTAAAGAGAAAAGATTTTCTGTTTAATTTATTAAGGTCATACTTACTTGATGACTATGAGAAATAAATGATAACATAAATAAAATGTAAGATGCATTAGAAGAGAAAGAATCAAAAGAGAACAAGAAAAAGAAAGAAAACATTTTGTCGTTCTCTTAAAAAAAAATCATAGAAAGAACATGAGGACAGATCAAAAGAACATATACGCATACATCAGATTAAAGACACATTTTTTGTTCTACCCAGTCAGACAAACAGCAAAAATAAACGCGTAATAATGCTTGGAAATTTTAACGAAAAAAAA